CCTAGATGAGGAATTCTTATTCCTCACCCCAGCCAACTTGTGCTCCCACGTCCAAAACCATAGTAGACAGTAAGGAGCAGAACTTTTGTGAGGTAATATTATAGCTTTGAATGAGAAACGGGTCTCCGCACTAAAACAACTGTAAAGAAAAGAGTGCAAGGTAATCCTACGGTTTGCACGTGAGTCAATTACTTCCTGTAGGCATTAAAAGAAATATTGCGTCATGTAGGCAAGCAATCCACAGAGCGCCTTTTGCGGCAAGCAACCCACAGAGCGCCTCTTGCTGTAATTCTACTGGTAATCAGGTAATCTTACAGTAGTGAGGCGTTCTTGATTTTTTTTTCAGATATAAGTCTGCGTTTCTATAGTTCAGGTATTTTGCCTTAGATATATTGCTGTTTACATTGGACTGAGTACACCGGTTCTCTACTAAAAATGAAATATGGTACGTGATTGATTTAAGTAACATAGGCCACTATCACAATTCTGTAGGAGGCATTTTTAGTAACCGTAAGAAACATAGGTCACTGGTTGATTTTGTCCACAAGGAATTTTTGGTAACCATGGAATAACAAAGTGGTCTAATAAATACTAGATTCCATGTAATAGTAACAAAAGCCATATTAAGCTTACAAATAAAATTCGTTTGGACGTAACTGAATGCCGCTGAGCACTAAGTAACCAGCGGCATGGTTATTAGTTTTCAGAAATCTCTATTACAAAATTGAATGCTACCGAATTTGCAAACTGAATACTGTCGAACTTGATCTTCAAGCAGTAGGTGACCATAGATTTTACGCCAACTTCATCTGTTCAGCTATCTCTGCAGCGACTGAAACATTCTTGTCCATGGGCTGGAAGCAACACAATATCCTATTAATAGTACTATAGCCTTTGGTTCACTTTTCTTCTCACAAAACCTGAACTTTGCTACTGGTTATTAGTAAACGAAGGTTTGAATTTCAATTGCACATTACAATTACCGATCATAAATATGAAGACACGACTCTCTATCCCTCATACATTAACCGTCATCCACTTGAACAGATACTGAAACAGAATATTTTCAATTCTTGAAAGTATACCAACAAACAGGTAGTGGCCACCATCACAGAAGCACATATAACATTTCAGGATTACTCCCTCCGTTCGGAATTACTTGTCCCGGAAATGGATGTATCTAGAACTAAAATATGTCTAGATACATCCATTTTTTCAACAAGTAATTCCGAACGGAGGGAGTAATAGGCTTCACTGCCCTGAACTAAAAATAATATAATGTCGAAATCAAAGATATCACAGTGGGACTTTGGATGTACCAAATTCATCACAATCACATGAAACCATAACATGCTAGCCGCAGGTGAATCAAAAGTATAGTGAGAAACAAGACAAAAAGTCAAATTCTATAACTATTGTTAAAAATGCTCACTAACCATGTCTTTTATCGAACAACTTCAATGGTGGGAGTCGCCGTATTGAACTAGTCTGTGTCTAGCAACTATTTACGACATTATCATCAAAATTAAACATAGAAGTATCTTAAGTCCCTTCAATATGGATTTTCTTAATAGTACTAGAAGTTATGCTACTAAACTTCATTGCTTTGTGATGAAACAAAAGGAGCAAAGAATTGGACGTAAATCATGTTGTAAGTAAAGACCTGAAGTAATTGAATTTCATGATTAGTTTGCAACGAACATTAGTGTGAAAGAGGCACACCCCATAATTCGTCAGACACACGATTGTAAGGGAAAAATGCCAAAGCCACCCATAATATAGTTGAATCAATATTAAATGGAACTAAATAAAAACATATCAAATCTAGTGGTACAATGGTAGTAAACACGAGGAATCAAGAAGAAATTAAGCAAATTTCAGTGGATAGCTCAGCAAAATAGGAACATAGGTTAATGTGAACAAACTCAACATCATTACAGTATATACGAATCTCAAGCAAAAAAAAGCCATAAGATTGAAATACACCTACACAATAGCTACTGAACTACAAAGTTCAGATTTTCAACAAAATAGGTTTGTCTGCCTGAAAAAAATGTATGCCATTTGTTGACCCGATTACAATCTCTTTCAGTTAGGTGGAATGACAAAACAGTGGACAACCTATGAACAAAACCAAACATTACTTCTGATCGAACACATACAAATAGATTTTAGAATTTCAGTAGTATTAAGCTTGTACGTTTAGCTATGCCCAAAACAAGTAATGCTATTTTATGTCGATCTTTATTGCCAAGCAATCTATATATATGTTTAATAGATCTTTATTGCTTGTTCTTCTATCAACTTCATTTGTTCCTCAATTTCTCCGGTGACTGAAACATTCTTCTCAATAGTGCTATAGCCATTAGGTTCACCTTTCTTCTCACCAAAACCTAAATTTTGCTACTGGTTGTAATGAAAAGAGGGCCTCAAATTTCAATTTAACATTACTTGTACCCACCACAAATATGAAGACATCCATATCCCACATACATTAGCGGTCATCCACCTGAACAGATACCCGAAAACAAAATATTTTTAGTTCTCAGAAGTATACCAACACAAAAGCGCACATATAACACTTCAGGATTAACAGGCTTCATTACCATGCATTGGAAAGAGAAAACGCAACCCTGCATCTTGCAATTTTTGCTAGTTGCAAGCGTGTACCGCTACTAATCCGGTCTGCACCTAGAGAAAGTTCTGAAACCCTCCACATAGAGACCGTCAAATACTGCAGGTCAAAAGTGAAAATCCATATTTGTACACCTGAATGATCCATGGAGAGGTATATAAACTGCTGTGAGAAAAAACAAATATGATTGAATGCTTCCATGGAAAATAGAAGAACATACAAGAATAGTGCAGCAGCCACTCATGATTTGTAATCGCCATGGGACTTGAGTTGCTTAGTTGCTTAAACAGTCTACTGTAGTCACCGTTACCAATTCACCGTTGAGGAGAAGAACCTGCAAAGATCCAGTGACCACAAACCTGCGCTGGCAGATCCAGCGCTTTGCTCGGAGCACCAAAGCTCACCATATCGAAGGATCCGAGAGCACCTAAAGCCGACAGTTCGCCGGTTCCGGCAAAGGCTTCGCTGGGATGAGGGGGAACCACCAACATCTTTATTCCACACCGACGCCGCCACCCCCACCATGACGGCAACTCCGGGAACCACTACCCTACTATCTACATACCGGAAGCACAGGACTGGGGTTCCCGCCCCTCTCCCGTCGTGGGAGCGGCAGACGGAGAGGGAAGGAACCACCGGCCTGGCCGGCGGCAGATCGAGGGGACAAAGTCGCCTTCCTATTCGCCTTCCCAGGGAAAAGGAAAGGAAACCGCTAATCTCGGCCCCATTAATTTCATTCTGCACTTCGCTTATTATTCTGAACATCACCAGCCGTCTTACAAATGGACAGAGAATTAGCATAAGAATAAAGAAACTGAACATAATTTCCAACTGAGCCATCTCCTCTGGAAAATTATGAATCATTGCAAATGGCCTTTAGAAGAGCAAAAGAAAAAATAGTTTAACACTATGATCAATACAGTTCAGCAGAGTTAGAAGCTAGTCAGGTCCTATTCGCCCAAAATCATATTCTTTTTTTTTGCGGGGACCAAATCACCGGGATGAGGATAAGCAATCAACCCGGTTCTTCATTTTTGCAATAGATAGTGGAGGCTTGTCACTGATTGTTGATGTCTTAGCGCGACCTGAATCTCGTTGAGCATCACACTTTCTGATTTACAAATCCAAGGTACATCTGAATAAAGAGAAAACAGGAACAACCTGACCCGTCCAAGAAAAAAATAGACCCTTCAGTGAGAAGCAATTGCTTCACTTGAGCATCCGGAATAAAGCTCAAGAAATCTTAAAGAGCAACTGTTCTCAAGTAATTACCTATCTCGACAACAATTTCTCAGATCAATTTCCACGCAATTACCTATAGCATTTGTAAAAGCTACTTCATGTCCAGTAATAACAGATCGATGTTTCTACCAGCAAATTACTAATTAAAGAGGTGCTTTCTCGTATGTATGTATAGAAACCTTACTTTGGTATTTTTATACTAGGGGGGTAAACAAATGGTTATGATGGCGCAGCCAATATTATGTACAACTAAAATATTCCAGAAATTTTACCAAGGAAATCTCAAGAATTGTTTTGCAACTATGGATACATGGTGCACTCAGAGCCTAGCTAAAATATGACCGTATAAAATAGAATGAACAGGACAGATTGGAAAGAGATCAGAAATCAAACATGCATGCAAATCAGCTAGCCTGGGTGGAACTGTAGGCGGCCGTGGCATAGCTTCTGGATATGCAGCGCCGACCATGACCTTCATTCCTGCAAGGCGATCATTCAGATCTAGCAGGGTGAGCTGGGGTTGGAAGGGAAGCAGAGAGAAGAAGGGGGAGGAGAAACGTGGAGAACCTGTGCCGGAGCCGGCTGTCGAGGGAATGGAAAATCTGGTTCGGTGAATGTTGGTTGTCGCAAGCGCCTTATTCGACTGAGCAGTGGGATGGATTTGGGATTGGTCACCGGTGAAGAATCGTTGTACGCTCCATCACCGCTGCCGCTGTCGGCCTCTGAGTCGCACGAGAGGACGAGGGAGAGATGGACAGGGGAGTGAGGGAATCATCCGATGAGAATTCTTCGCCGAGCACATCGCCGTCCAGCACGTCGCCAATCACCGCCCGCTAGTCGGCGTTCAGCGGAAACCGCTCGCATCTATTGAAAAATATATGCGGTGGGGCGGTGGTCTAGCTCGAAATCCCCACGACCTTCCAGCATTAACGTAAAATTATAGCGGCACGATAAAATTGTTGCTATAAATTTACATCGGTTTGTGCTGGGTTAAACCAGACCGTTACATGGCCGACTGACCCTGACCAGGGTGAAGAATTACTTATTCCTCACCCTGGGTCTTAAATAGACTTTATATATATATATATATATATATTCATCCTTCCACTCTTTGGTAGTTACCCTACATGTTTCATATATTACCATATGGCATTCTATATACAATTTTATCATTATAAATATGTTCATATATTATATATAAGATAATCCAAAATGAATAACATGAAAAATTGCAAGTTGGCCCATGTTTTTTATTATACTTACGAAATACGTACATATTTATACATAAAATGAAGCATACTAAAGATATGATGCATACTACCTAAAAAGTATTATA